ATTTTTTATCAGTTATATTGATTAGATTAGACTAGACTGTAATTGTGTATCTAATACATTTTCTATCAGTTGTATTGATTATTTTAGACTCTACAGGTGTTTCTAATAACGTTACTGTCTCTTTAAAGGTGGGCGTGTCCTCCCGTCAATGTGGCCCCGCCCCCTCCCTGACAACCAGCACGCCTCGTGTCCGTCTCCTAGCAACCGTCCCGTCCCTCCGCGCCGCTGCAGGCCGACCCGGACCCGCCGCCTCCCGGACCGTCTATTCCCGGGCAGAACCGTCCGGTGCTTCCATGGAACCGAGCTCAGAGTGAGCCGAGGCGCCGCCATGAACGACCGGTACCACCGGGCGGCCCGGGACGGGTACCTGGACGTGCTGAAGGAGGCCGCCCGGAAGGAGCTGAACGCCCCGGACGAGGACGGGATGACACCGACCTTATGGGCCGCTTACCACGGAAACCTGGAGGCGCTGCGGCTCATCGTGAGCAGAGGGTGAGTCCGGGACCGGGACCGGGACCGGGACCAGTTACCGCAGAGTTTTAATGTGCAGCTGCAGGTCTCCTTAATGTAAAACTTTAAAAACAGAAGCGACATAATTCAGCTTTTATTTCCTGCGTGAGGACACGTTTCCTCTTTATCTCTGCTGTGGAAACAACAACACGGAGTTTAATTTCACTGTTTGAACAATTTTATGAATTCAGGATAAAATGTAGAACAAACAGAAACCTCCAGAGAACCTCCTCAGCTGATTATTTACAGTTATTACAGTTATTTACTGTTTTAAATCTGCATCATTCTTAAAGATAAATATGTAATGGAGCTACATCTCTGTATTCTTTTCTTTTTCTGACATGTGAGTCAAAGGTTTTTACAGAAATCTGTTTTGTCGCTCCTTAAATCAGAAGACAAAACCAAACAATATGTTGTTGTCCTGTTTTTGTTTTTTATAAACAAATGTACAGATCAGACTGTGAGAAGGTCAAAATCATAATAATATATGAGAGAGATGAAAAACTTCTTAGTTTAGTGTTTGTAAGAGCTGCTGGAGAGCAGGTTAGAGCAGGTTTCTTGAGGAAAAAGTACATTTTTGAGAGATATGTAAATAGACAAGGTTTATAGTTGACATTAACCGACACAAATAGACATAAATAATTAGTATAAGACAGTCATTAGAAGATAGATGTCGACATTTAGAGAAGAAAGGACAAATTATAGCTTTAAAAGTCTAAATTATGACATTTACAGGTGATATTATGTAATAAAAAGTCCAAATTATGAGAAAAAAGCCCAAATTATAATGACAACAGTCAGAATTATGACTCATAAAAGTTAAATGATGTGATCAAAAGTCATGTTTACAGACACAAAGTGCAGCAAAATAAATGTGTATTTTGGATGTTATCTTTGCATTTGTCTGAAAGAAGACGTGTTGATAAAGTAAAGTCCCAAAATCTCAAAATCGAGCTTTGTATGAAAAGAAAATTCAGATTTCATCTGTAGACTGTTGTTTTAGGTGAAGGTTCATTAGAAATGAGTGGATTCAGTCAAAAAACAGTCACTTTTCAGGTAATATAAAGAGACAAAAGGTCACCTCATCTCTCCACCAAAGAAAACTGACCAGCACAAATTATTTTATTTTATTTTATTGTTTCAAATAAAAAACTACAAATGAGTTATAGTGGTGAAAGTATTTGATTAAATATCAAAATACTGTCTTTCTTAGTAAGAAGTAGGAGATAAACAACAAGATTATGAAACAAAACGGCAAAATTAAAATTAAAAAAAAGTGCCTATTAAAATAAACCTGTGATAAACAAAAATCTGACTTTCTTAGTAAACATCAGAAGATAAACATCGACATTATGAGACAAAAATGGCAAAAACATGACTTAATACATCAAAACTGTGAGATAAAGAGTCCTGGGTTTGACTTTGTGAGGAAACATTGTGAAGTGAGGAGATAAAAAGTCTAAACTATGAGAAAAATTATAATTAGAAAAAAGAAAAATAATGACTTCTGGTGGTAAAAGTATGTGACATAACGTCAAGATTATGATATTCTCTGTCGACATTAGAAGATAAAATGTTTAGGATACGACTTTCTGAGTATAAATTATGAATTGAAGAAATAAAAAGTCGCCTCATTCTCTCCCACCGAAGCCCATCAGCTTGACAGAGTGAATGTTTTAGATTTTTTACACATTAAGTGAAATAAAGCGGCTCATCTGTGAGCCAATCAGAGCTGCAGGACTTTATACATTCAAACAGCCTGATTACAGAGAAGGTCACGGCCACATGATTAAACTGGTGTTTAATTAATGTCACAGAAGAAACTCTGGTCTGTTAGTCGCAGGTTTAATGAACCGATCAGACTCCGATGCAGCATTTTAATCAAAGATCAGCTTCTGAAGCCGTCGCTGTGTGAAGGTTTGGTTTATGTTCAGGTGAGATCAGCTGCAGGTGGAGGATCAGAGGAGGTTTTCTTCTTCTGTCGAGGTTTTCAGCAGCCGCTTGGTTCAGTTTGGTGTCTGCTGGCTGCAGATTAACAGCAGCTTCGTGTCATTCAGCAGCTTTATTAGGCGAACAGCAGCAAAGGTTGCAGTGATGGATGTGAAGCTGGCTGACAACAACAGGCTGCGTGTTGACATCCACAGAGGCTGCGTGTTGACATCCACAGTGGATGGAACGCTTCATTTTAAACTGATAACCTACAATTTCCATTTTTGTCTGCAGAAATTTGCTCTCAATGACAAACTGAAAGCATCTGTTCAACGTGTGATTTTTTTATTTTTTTAGTCTGCAAAAAAACCATTTCTTCACTGTCATTATGCGTGATTGAATGTAGGTTTATGTGCAGTTTTACCGATTTAAAAATATATTTTCAACTCTACGCAGTGTGCAAAATGTGAAAGGGCTTTCTGAAATGTTTGTGTGCTACTCTTTGTGTGAAACCTGCTTTAGTTTTGCCAGAAGTAGGTCCTAAAATGTCAAAAATAGAAGATAAACAGTCTCATTTTTGACCCTTTGAGGACAAATGATGGAAGAGAAGCACGATTATGAGTTAAAAGGTTCAAATGATTAGATTTAATGTCCACATTTTGACTTTCTGGGGGAAACTTCTGAAATAAAGAAGTATAAAGTCAAAATTATGCAAAAATGGCCAAAATAATTGTTAAAAAATTTCAAATTTATTACTTACAAAGATAAACATCACAATTACCAGAAAAGGGGAAAAATTATAACTTAAGTCAAAATCATAAAATAAGGAAGTTTGACTTTTTTGAGAACAAATTATAAACTGAAGAGATAAATGGTGAAAAAAAAACTACCAGTGTTTCACCCTAAGTGGAGGTCTGTTGAGAATATCGTAGACGTTTGACTCATTTCACTGATGAGGGGAAATGACTTCATACACAACCATCATCCATTTAAAATTTAACTTTTAACAGCATAAAGTGTGTAAAATGTGAAGGACTGTCTGAGATTTCTGTGTACGAGTGTTGATATTTGCCAAATTCAGGAGATAAACTGTCAAAACTATAAGATAAAAAGTCACATTTTTGACTTTCTGAGAAGAAATTACAGACAGATGGACAAAATGATGAGATCAAACGTCCACATTATGACTTTCTGGGGGAAAATTGTGAATTGAAAAAGTCTAAACATTTTTTTTAACCCTCCTATTACCTTCAAATTTACTGACCTCTTTTATCCTTGGGTTCAGTTTGACCCCAGCAATTTAAAACCTCCAGACAATATCATAAACAAAATTGTTACCAACGTTTATGTGTAAATGGCCCTTTAAATAAAACTGGAAAAATTATGTCAGGGACTTATTTAGAGATGTTAAACATTTAATGGGGTCAAATTGACCCTAAAGATAATAGGAGGGTTAAAAAAAAAAAAAGGCAAAAATTATATTAATGAAAAGGCAAAATTTATGAAGAAAAAAATTATATAAGATTAATGTAAGAATTTTGAAAATATGGAGCAAAATGTAGCTTCAAGTCAAAATTATGATGTAAAAAGTCACTTTTGTACTTGAGAAGGAAAAATGATTCACAGACAGAAAAGATGTTGAGTTGAAAAGTGAAAATGACGCCATAAAATGTTTGTTCTGAGGGAAAATAACAAGTAAAAATTCTGTGTAAGAATTATGAATTGAGACGAGACCACTGTGAGATTTTGACTTGAAAGAAATAAAAAGTCAAAATTATGAAAACAGGCCAAAATATAATGAAAACAGTGAAAACAATATTATGTATTATGAAGGAAAAGTGGAAGAGAAAAGTCAAAATTCTGAAATAAAAAGTCAAACTTTTTAACATGATGAGGAAAAAAAAAGATGAATCAGTCATTAAAGAATGAAAATACACTTATTTTATCTGTAGTGTGGATGTTGTGTGTGTGTTTTTTTTAATTGACTGACACATTACATCATCCATTTAAAACTGAACTTTCAACAGCATGAAGTGACGGGCTTTCTGAAGCTTTCGAGTGTTGCTCTAACACATGATTTATTCATTTAAGCTTCCACGTGATTAGTTCAAGGACAGTTGGAGAGTTCAGAACTTGAGGATTCCTTGTGTTTTTTCAGTGTCTGGCTGAGACACGGTGCGACTCTGGTGACTTGTGGGGTTCAGAGGTTTGTTGTGTGTGATGAAGACTCGACGTCAGCTTCATCGTTGATGGTTTCAGTTACTGCTCGAGTGAGTCAAAGTGTGATTCACGCTCCTGCTGCAGCGACACGTCTCCTGCTGCTGGAACTCGATCTGTTTAATCGGCCTCTCGGAGAAACAAACAGAAATCAAACTCGACTCTCTGGAGCCTGAGCCTCAGACTCGGTCGGGCTCGTTGGCGGCTCCGCAGGCGGATCTGAAATCAGGGCTGGTGGGAGGTGGTGACCTGCCGGGTTTGTGGTGTCGCTGGGTGTCGGTGAAAAAGAAGTGTGCGGGTGTGTTGGATTAATAATGCAGACTCACCTCTGTCATGTTTAAACTGCATCGTCTGAATTATTGATCGGCGATCGGCCGTGTGGGAGGAGGATGGATTGAGCAGCTCGTAAACATCGCTCCTGTTGTTGTTGTTGTTGTTGCTGCACTGCATTGTGGGTAGTACTTCACTGGTACTGTAGTCATATTTGCTTGACTGAAGCAGCAGGTGGAAGCATTCAGCTGATCTCACTGCTGGAAGAAAAGGCTGCAACGTACTCGTAGTTATGAAGCAGAAAGTCTGTTCTGTCTGTTGATCTATCAGTGAGTCGTAGTTTCTCTAAACTCCAGGCATGTTCTGGGTGTTTTTGTCACATTTTTCCTCATTGTGGACTCATTTTTTATAAAGTATAAAGCTCTGCACCTCTGTGGAAACAGAACAACCATAAATAGAAATAGACAGAAATATTGTCTCTGCAGTGTGACGCAGTCAGAACGACAGAAATCATACAAAAGAAAAAACAAATTTCTTTGATTATTTGTTTTACAATTTAAAAAAAATAAAAAAAATCTAGAAACATCACGCACAACATATTTCCCAGTGCCCTGAGGTGTCACCAATACTGGGGGGGAATGATGGTGTTACATACGATGAGGAAAATATAGAACAAAGGAGCTACGTCTGCCTCAACCTGTCTGAGCCTGTGTTGATGATGGAGCTCACCTCAAGCACAAAGCTTCACAATTCAAACTTCATTAAAACACATTTTAAAGTAGCAACAACCGTCCTGACTTTGTTTTAAAGCGTGTCCACAACAAAACAGTGGTTTCTGAACTGTTCAGTCAACTTTGGAGGCACACAGCTCCAATGTAATCAAACCATGTGCTTTCAAGGTTGTACAAGGTTTTCAAGGCCGGGTGGGGGGTGGGGGATTATAAGTTCATCATGTTGTCGGTGCTTTTTTTATTGGTGTTGTTGGTCCTTTGTCTATTTGTACTGAAAAGCCCAACCAGGGGCTGAAAATGATCTTAATACTATACAGTCTAGCCTTTGCCGTCAGTCAGCTGGGATAGACTCCAGCCCCCCGTGACCCCAGTGAGGATTAAGCGGTGTGTAGATAATGGATGGATGTACAGTCTAAATGCAATACATCAGATGTCTTCTATGTGAAGATGCACGGTCCCTGATCTAATAAATGAATGAAGTGAAATATTCTTTGTCGTTAATAAAATGTGGTGAATGTTAAAGGGGTCAAACTCCAAATGGTTAAATGAGAAACAGAGAAGAAAGCTGTGTGTGAACCCACTAATGTGTCGATTCACTGCTGTCTCCTCCAGAGGTGACCCGGACAGATGTGACATCTGGGGCAACACGCCGCTCCACCTGGCGGCTGCCAACGGCCACCACAACTGCCTTTCCTTCCTGGTGGCCTTCGGTGCCAACGTGTGGACTCTGGACAACGACTACCACACTCCGCTGGACATGGCTGCCAGCAAGTCCCACATGGACTGCGTCCGCTACCTGGACTCCATCGCCGCCAAGCAGATCACCCTCAACCCCAAGCTGGTGGGCAAACTGAAGGACCGGGCGTTTCGGGCCGCAGAGCGCCGCATCAAAGAGTGCGCCAAGCTGCAGAGGAAGCACCGCGAACGCATGGAGCGGAAGTTCATGAAGGAGTCGGCGGTTCTCGACAACATGGACGCCATGAGCCTCTCCAGCTACAACAGCAGCAGCACGCTGAGCCGCAAGTTCAACACCGTCACCTCCAACATGCCATACTCGCAGGTAGATGCAGAAATAATGACCAGCTTTGTTTTACAGCATCTTCATTAACAATGTTACACAGTGCCGAGCAGAACTAAAAGATAAAACCAGATAGATGAGAGTAAGACCAGAGAAGAAAAGGACAGGACGACCCTCTGAACTCAGAGGAAACAGCACGACCACGGATAGAAGGAGGAAAACTAAAGTTATCTTTAGTGCAGCATGATTTAGTTATAATACCGTAAATCATACAAATGAAATTATTTATTATTTATGATACAAAAAGGATAAACATGGAGTCAACATGTGCCATCGTCTGTGCCCACGTTTGTCACCAATACTGAAAAAGAAATTTAGCTCCACAGACTGAAGATATTTAAGTTTTTGTTCCCATAATTCTCTGCTCTCTGCTCTGTGTAATCAGGTTTAGTTGAAAACTCTCTGAATATTTGTCACGTGACCGTTGGTCACAGCTGAATCAGTCACGACTTCCTTGTTGCACCAAAGAGGGGAGAATTTCTACTTTTTTATGGAATCTATTTAGAGCAAATCCTTCATTTTTTAAACAAATTTTTAAAAATGAGACGTGCAGTGATTTTTATGCATTATCACAATTTCAAGCTTAGATTCGGTTAGTTTTCTCAACAGAGCTGCACGTGATGATTGAGTCGTTCAAGGACTGTTGAAAATCTAAGAAAACCTGCCTTTCAAACATGCTGGTGGGTTTCAGACTTATAAAGAGGGATGTTAAATAAATACGAATACATACAAACATACATTCATCAATTTCAAAACTTTCCACAAAGTTTCAACAGATCATTTATACGTTGGACACTTAGTTTACTTGAGTTGAATTTCGGGCCCCAACAGAAGAAGTTGGCTCAAGCTGTGACCTGGGAGGAAGCAGCAGGGCTTCATCTGCAGGTCTTAGTGCTGAAGAAGACGTCAGTGAGATGTAAAAAACAGTTTAAATTCCATTTGAAATCTAACAGGGAGCCAGTGCAGGAAGACGCAATAGTTTTGCATCAACTCTGGACAATAGAGGGAGTTCAAGATCATTTCTGTGTAAGCTGTGTCGCAATAATCAAGCCAGAAGTAAATTAAAGCAACAATTATTAGAATGCCTTCTGGATTAGATTCACCAGCTCTCAGTAGTTTTCCTTTAAATGGGAGCATAAATCATTAAATGTACATCATGAGGTATTGAAGGAGACTTGAAACTACAGACTGAGACCACACACTGATGAGGAAAATGCTGAGTGAGGAAACAACTCAAGTAAGACGTAGAGTCACTGTCTCATCTAAACAATGTGACTTCTTTGTGCAGCCAGTCGCCTCCTGCTGGCTGTTTGAAAGAATGCAGGTTTAAGGCTTCACTTCTCAGATCTAAAGGCTACATCCATCTTTAACACAGGATAGCTTGAAATTACGCTAAATGTTGACTTTGCTGATTCTTCTTTCTAACATCTGCTACTTTCTCGTCAGGCCACCCTGCATTCGACAGCCAAGGGCAAAGCCAAGATCCAGAAGAAGCTGGACAAGAAGAAGCAGGTCGACGGTACGTTCAAGATCTACGAGGACGGCAGGAAAAGCGTGCGCTCGCTGTCCGGCCTGCAGCTCGGCAACGACGTCATGTTCCTCAAGCAGGGCACCTACGCCAACCCCAGGGAGCGGTCGCGCCTCAACATCCGCGACATGTTCCCCCACGACAACGACGACGCCGACACCGTCTCCCGTGCCATGAGCGACCCGGGCCTCCACGAGGCGGCGTACTCGGAGATCAGCGCCGACTCTGGCCGAGACTCGCTGTTCACCCGACCCGGTCTGGGCACCATGGTGTTCAGGAGGAACTACATGAGTGGGGGGATGTTTGGGATCGGTGGACGGGACGAAGGCAGCGTCGCGGGAAGCGAACCAATCGGCCGGGCGCCCAACGTTCGCCTGCGGGGACACCTGCCTCGACGCTCGCCCAGCTTCGACGAGGACAGCATCGGCAGCGCTCTGAGCCTCCAGGAACGAAACCTGCAGGAGCTGCCGTGGGAGGAGGCCGAGGTCGGGCTGGACGAGGACATGGAGCCCGAGAACAGTCCTCTGGAGACCTTCCTGGCCTCCCAGAGCCTCGGCGAGTTCATGCCGCTGTTCAGGAAGGAGAAGATCGACCTGGAGGCTCTGATGCTGTGTTCGGACCAGGACCTCACCAGCATCCACATCCCTTTAGGCCCCAGAAAAAAACTGCTGGATGCCTGCAAGAGGCGTCTGGACACTTTAGACGAACCAGAGGCCATCGAAGACACTGAGCTTTGAAACGTCCATATTGTGTTTTCCTCCACTTAGTCCTTCCAGAACACACATCAGCGACTGTCTTTGCCTTCATCAGCAAATGGAAGATTTACTGGACTGAGAGAATAAGAATCGTAGAGTTGATTCCTTTTGGTAACCTTTAAATCTACATTAAGTATATTTGCTCAAATGTTCATTAGCCGTGTTTCCATATCATATTTTAATGCTCATTTTCGCAAGTATCGGAAAAAGTTAATGAAACAGACACAATTTGAAAAACTTAATTTAGCAAAGAAGTGTTTTTTTCTAATAAGAGCTGATAGCGAGCATTTAGGTCACATGACTGATTGTTTCTTCTATTGAAGCTGGTACCAGCTGACATGAACAGATGTGCTGTTCTGTAGGAACTTGTTCTAGAGCAAAAAAAATCCACCCAATAATTACAAGTTTCCCAATTTCTCTTTCATGAATTGACAAATTCTTGTTTATCTCTTCTTCTTATTATTCTTCTACTGTGTTGTTTTTTTAACATGATGTCCCCGTTGTACGCATACTCCACAGAACAGCAGGTACTTTATTAGGGCAGCTGTAGTTTGTACTTCAGGTCAAAAGGAAAAGTAGGCGATTTGGACGGCAGCTCGGCTTTAATCACTGCACCAGTTAACCCTCTGAACTCTGAGCGGTTTTTAGGCTTTTTCTTTGCTCCTCTCACGTTGTTCTTCACTGTGGGCTCGTTTTTGATTTCCATCTAAGTCCTGCACCTCTCTGGAAACAGAATGAAGGTGAGGAAGCTCAGAAATGTCTTCTGTGCAGCAGGACACAGTAAGAATGACAGAAATCACAAAAAATAACAAAGTAAAATTTCTTAGAATGTTTTATTTTACAGCAATTGAAAAAACCTGGAATCAAAATGTGCAACATTCCTCCAAGTGCCCTCAGGTGTTACCAGTAATGGGGCTAAACATCATCTACACACCTTAATCCTCACTAGGGTCATGGGGGGCTGGAGTCTATCCCAGCTGACTCAGGGTGAAGGCAGGTTCACCTGGACAGGTAACCAGTCTATCACAGGGCTACACTTAGAGACAGACAACCAAGCACACTCACATTCACACCTACGGACAATTTACAATCACCAATTAACCTCAACATGACTGTGGGAGGAACCCGGAGAGAACCCACGCTGCACGGGGAGAACATGGGAGACTCCACGCAGAAAGATCCCGGGTGTCCTCACCGGGACGCGAATATATATTATATATCATAACTACTTACGGGCTGCAAGGTGGAGCAGTGGTTAGCACTGTTGCCTCGCAGCAAGAAGGTCACCGGTTTGCGTCCCGGTGGGGGCACCGGAATCTTTCTGCGTGGAGTCTCCATGTTCTCCCTGTGCAGCGTGGGTTCTCTTTGGGTTCTCCCACACGGTCCAAAAACATGTTGAGGTTAATTGGTGATTCTAAATTGTCTGTAGGTGTGAATGTGAGTGTGCTTGGTTGTCTGTCTCTAAGTGTAGCCCTGTGATAGACTGGTTACCTGTCCAGGTGAACCTGCCTTCACCCTGAGTCAGCTGGGATAGACTCCAGCCCCCCATGACCCCAGTGAGGGTTAAGCGGTGTATAGATGATGAATGGATAACTACTTCCATTTGTCATTTATTTCCGTACTTGTTTTGTAAACACTCTGTGAATGTTTGTTGGTTGCAGCTTCGTCACTTATAGATTTTTGGTTGTGCCAGAATTTTTTGTTTTTCACAGAATCTATTTGGAGACAAAACTTGATTTTTGGTGAATTTCTAAATGAGACATGTAGAAAACAAAAAGATTTTAATGAAGTTTCACTGTCGAGGAATGGAACCACGTAGGGTTAGTTCAAGGACTGTTGGAAAGTTGAATATCTTATTGATTTTTTTTGTTATTACAGGTTGTGGCTAAATTAAAAAAAGTTTTTTTTTTTGCAACATTTCAAACGTTTTCTAAACGTTTAGTGATATGGAAACACGACGAATGATTTGCTGCTCTAAACAAAGTAGACAGAAATGCTTCAGAACCCTGATGGTGTCACATCGGACCCAGAAACATGAAAACATGAGCAGAATTGTCTTATCTGTATTTACCTCCTGATTCTGCCTCCAACTTCCACCTGAACACACTTTAACCGACTAAACAGCGCCATCCAGTGACGAGATGATAGAACAACATGTAGCTTAGAGGTGACGGGATGACAGTTCGTCAGTCACACATGATGTTGTTTTGTTTATTTACTGTATAAACTCAGAGTAAAGCGCTGATGATTACTCCTCAGTAGTCAGTGGACTCTTGGAAAACAAGATTTCTGGACCTTGTTATCTTTGCATATTGTATTAATGAACACATTAATTAAGGATTCCCGTGTTAGTCAGTGTACCTCCATGTCTCCACGTGTTGTTTATTACGTGTCCATTGTACAGTTTTGTTATTGGGCTGCTGGGTGCCTGCAGTGTGTCTGTGATGGATGGATGAGCTGCTGCAGCACTGAAACAATGAGCTTATGTGACTGTGTGCTAGATAACACCACTATCTCGGGTTGCATATTTGGTTTCAAAGGTCCGTCTGCCGGTGAACTTGGGAGTGTGACTGAGCGCGAATGTGTGTTTTTACGTTGGCGGTTTTTGTAACGATCACCTGAAGATGTTTTGTTAAAATAAAGTGAAATTTGTCACCGTTCTGTTGAGAGAATTTATTCAGAATTCAGATTTTAAAATG